AGTGTTTTTTTATTTAAAAAATTAATCTTTTATTTAATTTGATTTTTATTCATCATAATTATTTATAAATTAAATTTTAATACTTTTTAAATAAAATATCAATAATCAACCCCTTATATTTGAGGGGTTACCTTAATTTTAAATGTTAAACTTTTTTAATTTCAAATGTTGGACTATATTAAGCTACTTCAGTGGGAGGAAAACAAAGATCATTGTCCATTACTTTGGACTCTTTCAATAAAGAGCATGGTAACTTCGAGGCTACAAGATAGAAACTTGGAGATTCCTTGTCGTTGATGTAAGGGGGAAGTCAGTTATCTCACTCTAAGATATGAGATAATTATTGGATAGTGGGATTAGACTTTCAATCCCTTGTTTGTATTCTTTGTTGTTTAGTATGGGGATTTTGGGAGCCCCTTGTTTCATTGTGTTTGATAATTTGATTAATGATATATCATTTACATGTCTTTATTCTTCCTATTTGATGTAAATTGTGCCTTTGAGTTATGATTGAGTATCCTATAGAAAACCCTTTTATAGAGGAGATTGAAGATTAAGGAAGTTATTGTGTATTTGGATCAAACTATTGTTCTTGATGATGTATGAGTACTCTAAGATGTACAATTGGCCTTGCTCATGTTAAATTGTGAATTTTGGTAAAACTCTTAAGTGCCTATAGAAAACTCCAAATTATAGAGCAGGTTGGAGATTTATGTAATTGGATGATATATGTAAAGTTGATGTGTAATTTGAGTAATTAATGATATAAATGAGTAGTACCGAGCTTTAATTGATGTTTTGACCAATTAGAATGAGTTAAGATTAAGATTTGGAGACTTTGGTAATTTTCGCAATTTCTGCATTTAGGTATGAAACAGTTGGTATAGGTTGTTGAAGCTATTGAAATTTTTGACGTTAACAGTATTTTGTAATGTGAACTTTTATCTAAAGTTTTATGTTGTAGTTGGTACATTTGTCGGTCTGATTTAGTGCAAGACCTATATATTTTAAAATATGTTTAGCTATGTAATGATGTTAGACAGGTTACCCATACCTATTAGGTAGTTGAAAGTGTGTTGCTATGTATTTATGTATGCTTTATATATGAATCGGAAACTAATTAGCAAAAATATCAATGAAAAACTATTCACGTTTTTATTCAAAAACACCTTATACAATAATTGGTATCAAGAGCATTTTCTGATCTTTGAGGGACTTGTGAAGGAACCCATTAAAAAAAACAAAGAGAAGAACAAGCATTCTCCTAAATGGCTTTCGACAATATTTCACTACCTTAATACCTAAATGGCTTCCAACAATATTTCACTACCATTACCTCCTTAATTTACAAGAAAGAACTACAAAACTTGGGCTCTGAAGATAAGGGCTAAACTGAGACTGTACAGGTCTGTCATAGGGTCCCCTCTGCTGGCTTAGGATGAAGGAGGGCGACATACTGAAGACTGCTTTCAGGACTAGGTATGGTCATTATGAGTACGTCGTGATGCCGTTTGGTGTGACCAACGCCCCTGCAGTGTTCATGGATTACATGAACTGGATTTTCCGGCCGTTCTTGGATAAATTCGTAGTGGTATTCATTGATGATATCTTGATTTATTCAAGAACCCGTGAAGACCATGGAGAGCACTTGAAGATGGTGCTGGAGATTTTGAAGGCGAAGCAACTATATGCCAAGCTTTCAAAATGTGAGTTCTGGTTGGATGAAGTGAGGTTCTTGTGCCACGTGATTTCAGCTGAGGGGATTGTTGTTGATCCGGCTAAGGTGGAGTCGGTGTTGCAGTGGGAGCGTTCGAGGACTGTCACTGATATACGGAGCTTTGTGGGATTGGCGGGCTACTATCGTCGGTTCATTGAAGGATTCTCTAAAATAGTAGCGCCTCTGACCCAGTTGACGAGGAAGGAGCAGCCGTTC